TTCTTGTTCTCGTTTCTCGTTTCTGTTCTACTTTTTTAAATAATCAAGAAACATAGATAGTTATTGAACATGTTTCTTTTTTATCAAACAGACAGACCCTTCAAATCTAAGTGCTTTTCTAACCTATTCGCATTGTTGACCAGTTGGAGAACCTTTTTGCTACTCCGTGGTTGTTGGACATTCCTTTTAATCCTTTGTTTGACACTCTTGTACGTTCGTCACATCAATAAAATGCTTATTCTCTTTGTTGAAAAAATAAATATTGTCATATCACAGAATGGTATATAGTTTCTAATCTTCATTTAAGAATCTAATTCATTTAAAGATACGTTGTGGCTTTTATTGTAAATTCGTGTTGATTCTAGTAAAAAATACAGAAAACACAACTTTGATAACTAAATCAGTTTATTGAGATGTCTTCTAGGTTTCCCTGCCATTACTGATCCTGCATGGGGAAGCTGATACCGTAACAGACCCATCCGTGAGCAAGGCATTGTACGAGAAAGCGAGCAGTTCAGATAAGAGTATAAAACTTTATAAAGATGCATACCATTCTCTTTTAGAGGGCGAGCCCGATGAAATTATAATCCAAGTATTTGACGACATCATCTCTTGGCTGAACGAGCATTGTAAGTAACTTTTTGGACCGAGTTATGGTCATTCTTTCATGGTATGATTTGTGTAGGGAGAGATTTCTTTCCCTTGAAGAAAAGTTTGGAAACTATGCTATTGGCCTTGCAACATCAGGAAGCTGTTGAAGTAATGTATTATTTACTATTTTTGTGAGATGATGTATCAATAACTAACTATTAATTAAACGCACAGACGCTTCGAAATTAGACACCACTTTTCTGTTTATGGCTGAATCAATCTCACTTGATTTGGGTCGAATATGGTAACTTCTTCGGCTTGGTTAGAACCAAAGCTGAACCCATTGGTAAATTGATGGGCTAGCCCTGGACATTGAATGGGCTGGTTGGCCCTCCATAAATGGTGATTTATGTTCAATTCTTAATCTTGTTGGGTTGGGTTTGGCCGATGACTCTAGTTTACTGCTTTGATTTGACAGGTACACTTTTGTTTGGGAGGTCTATGCAATCCCACATTTCTATTTCTATTGGAATTAGTATTTTTAATTTGCTTCACCAAACTTCACCATTATTATTTTTTTTTATATTTACAAAATGTTTCATTAATCTTATAGATAAACTTCTCATGATTTTAAATTTTCCAAGGTCATATTTTATTCTTAAATAAAACATATTGAAAAACATTTGTTATTTATTTTTAAAAGCGACAAATAGGTACGATAATTATGTCGCAGGAAAATGTTGAGACTATCCGATGTCTCGAATAAATACTATAAATTCTATCTCATCCGAAATCCCCAAATACACAACAAAACTGAAGAAAGTGATTATCTAGTTCTTCATCAGCCCATTGTTTCTTTTGGTTCTCCATTTCTATTTTTTAATTTTTTTAATTTTTTAATTTTTTATTTTTTATAAAGGTTAAAGAAGGCGTTTAATCTTTAAAATTTTATGGGTATTACTGTAAAGGTATTTTTTTTTTTTTATTTTAGAAAGTTGAAGGGATTAATTTTTTTTTTTAATTCAATCATATTTTTGAAATATTATCCTTTCAAAATTGAAGAGTATTTATAAAATACTAAAAGTTTCTATTTTAAATGTTTAGAGGTATTTTTAGAGATAAAATACAACTATTAATTTAACTTTTTTAGTTGATTAATATCAATGCTCAACAACCGGACAAACAACCACTATTAAATCCTGAAAACCTCTGTAAACTCGGCTTGACCCCTTTCCTTTCCTCTTCTTTCTTAACTGTACCTTCCCCTTTTCTTGACTCGCGCAGTATAAGGGAATTCCTACTTTTCTCAAACTAAGCTGAGCAGGTCCCTCAGAATCGCAAGAGAAGAATCAACACACCTAGATGGATGGGATCACCAAGAATCGTTTGATGCCTGCTCGTTCTCCCCTCTTCAATTCCCAATGAACAATATGATCTTTAAAAAATAATTTCTTCGGTTGAGATCCAACCAAACTGACCTAGTGAATCAATCATCAGGAATACAGATTGATAATGATGTTGGGTATCTTAAATAATGAGACACTAATCAAACCCTAATGGATACATATCCTATTTTTATAATTACTTTTTCTTTATAATATTACTTAGATGGTAGAAAACGTAAATCAATATATTAATTTGGATTAGGAAAGTAAATAAAGTCACGCAATATAATGTATTGGTTATCCCATTAATAACATGAGTGTATTATCCACGTCATTACCTAGTTCCTATAAAGTTAAATTAAACGAAGAAAAAAATTAAAAAAAAAAAAGTGGTGGTTGGTAATTTATTTCAGTAGAAAAAGCCAAAAAATTAGCGGTGGATTGGCCGACGACGGGTGCATGGCGATAGTTTTGGGAGATGGTGGTTGGTAATCTTTCCTTTTCAGTTAGGAAAAAAAAAGTGAATTAATTCAAAGGGGTCAAGCAAACTTGAACACCATATTTAGGTTTGATAGTGAGCACAACGACGGGTGCATGGCGATAGTTTTGGGAGATGGCGAACGAAAACTTGGCGATGAGCATGGCCAATATGATCTTCGTTTCCATGACAGCGAAAGATTGGCCGACGCAGTTGCGCGGTCCAGAAGCAAACGGTATGAACCTACCCGACGTGAACACCTTCGAGCTCCCAAATCTTTCAGGCTTGAACTCATTCGCGTCTTTTCCCCATAGCTCCTCACTGTGGTGAATGGCTAGCACTGGGATCCATATCGACAACCCTTTTGGGATCTCTAAGTCCCCGAGCTTTATATCCTCAAACGCTATCCTTGGAAGAATGCTCGCTGGCGGGTATAACCTCAGGGATTCATTTATCACCATACTAAGCTGTGCATTAACAAAAATATGATATCTATCCTAAACTGTAATGAAAGACTAATTATATGGTAAACTATAATTGTACCTGGGAGAGTTTGGGGAGATGGTCGAGCGAGGGAGCTTGGCGGTTGCAGACGGCCATGACTTCAGCTCGAACCTTGTCTTGCCAAGAAGGGTTGGTGGCTAATAACATGAGAGTCCAAGTGAGCAAGAGAGCTGTGGTTTCATGGCCGGCAAAGAAGAAGGTCTTGCATTCATCCATTATTATTTGCAAATTCAAATTAAAACCCTTGTTGTCTCGTTTATTCTGCATCTCATTCAGCAACATTCCTAATAAATCATTACCATTCTCCACACACTCCTTTCTGCTCTCTATGATCTCCATTAACAATCCCTCCACTTTCCCTTTTAATGCCTTTATTTCTCTGTTATATTTACTCGGAAAAAATCTGTTTAATAATAATAAAAAAATATATATATATCAATTACTGTTGTTGAGCTATATTAGTACATAGGTACTGTTCAAGTTTACCTGCTACCGGGAAGGCAGAGGTGGCGGCTAGCTTGAGCACAGAGATTCTGTAGAGTCGTGAGTAAATGAAAGATTTGTTTTCCCTTTTCATAGCTGCTTCCAAACTCGGTTTTGGAAATTATATCGGCCGTGATTCTGGTCATGTACTCGCCGATCTCGAACTCGGTTCGTCCCAATTTGACCTCGTTTTCTAATGATATAAGCATTTCTCTCGTGCATTCAACCATGCATCCTGCGTAACTCTACAAAACAAGAGAGGTTGAGTCGGGTGTCTAAATTTGATGTTTTATTCATATTGTTAACGGACCTTGAGACGGTTGCCGAGGAAGGCGGGAGCGACGACATGTCGTTGATGGAACCAGTTTTGGCCGTTGGCCATTAAGAGACCTCTACCAATAAAGTGGCTGGACCCCTGTTGTTGGAGCCACGACTTGCCGGTAACGGCGCTGTGTTTGGACAAAAGCTCTTTGATCAAGTCGGTTTCAGCCAGACACATTCTTGGCTCAATCCCATTCCAAAATATAAATCTCTTCCCTTCACAAAAAAAACATACAAATAAATCAATTAATTAAAAAGTTGATGGGTTACGGTAAATTTAATGATTTGGACATACCGAATTGGGCGGTCCAGACGAGATAGTGCGGGAGGAGGCGGGGGACGAGGTCGTGGGAGATGGAGGGCATGTCTTGGGAGGTGGACTTGGAGAGGAGGGCGGTGACGTCAAGGATGTTGCCGAGGAAAGGGCGGGGTTTGGGGCCACCCACACCTTGCATAGCCATCTTTTTCTTGATGCGTCTAGGAGTCGACCAGTAGCAGGAAACGGCGTCGTATAACACAGATAAGATGACAAACGACGTCGCTGCTAGAGCCAGAGTTGTAATAACCAGCGGCAAAATAAAGGCCGCCATCGGGAAAGAGAGAGAGAGAATGGGAAAGAAAGGAGAAACACATGCACATATAAATTAGGATCATTAAGTTATTCCCTGGGCTGTGGGCCCTACATCTTTAAAGTATTGTTTTTTCTTTTTTTATAAGCTGAGATGGAAATAAGAAGAACTAATATTAAATACAAGGTCAAAGGTTTGACCCAATTAGTTTTTAGCGGAGGAAATCAATTTTAAATTATTGATATTAAAATAGATGGTAATTGAAAAGGAAAATAAATAAATAAATAAATAGAGATTTGACTCAAAATGAAAATAACTATCTAGAATTGTAAATGAGAGCTATATTAATTTATTTTTCAAAGAAGAATGGTGTATTTTTCCAAATAAAGACAAGATTAATTGAATTTTTTTAAAATTTTTTATTTTTCTTTTAATAAAAAAGTGGGAACATTATCTTCAACAACATGCTTGGATAAAAAAAGAAAGAACAGAAAAGGCTCCATAGAGAAGGACTTATTGAGAGGCTATGGCTTTTAAAATTCTGATAATTCACCAAATTTCTTAAAATCCGCAACACAAAAGGGCTATTGCCTAGAAATTTGTAGACAATCATTTCAATTTTTTAAAAATTTAGTGCAAAATTAGACTTTTTTACTCCTAAAAAATAGATTAATTTGCATGTTTCGTCCTATCATTTGTATAAAGTAGGATTGGATTTGCACCACCAAAAATATATATATATATATAAGTAGGTAGAACAATCAAAGTTTTACACCAACTTTAATTAGACTATCGTTCTAATAAGAAAAGTATATACATTTGAAGTGTTAAGGTTATGAATCTTGACCGACCTTTAAGAATGAATGTTAACGGCCATGAATGATGTTATACTCTTCCTCACGGCTTGCCATTTTGTTGAAGTGCATACTCCCACTTCATCTTTTCCAACACGTTGTCGTTGGTGTTGGAAAATGAAAAGAAAACATGATATGAATCCAACCACTGATCCATTATATGTATCCGAATGAGTAATTACAAGAAGCAAAACAAAGAATCGTAGAGGGACCTCTACCTTTATTTGTGCGTCCATAGCATAATGTTTCCGTTTTTGAAAGGAATGTCACCATAATCATAGATAAAAAGGTTCTCATCTTGCTAGGAGAGGTCAAATACCAGTCAAAGGAAGTGCACATTCTAATCCAAATACTAATAGTAAACATGAATAAACTATAGTATCGTACTCTATTATAGCATTTATTATATCTATAAAAAAACGCTATAGAAGAGACCATGGTTGTATCACCAAACTCCTTTTGATACCAACTTCACTTTGTTGCGTTCATTCAAGCTACTCAAAATGAGCTCCTTCTAGCCCATGGTTGGCTTAGCCTAAAGCTTATTCTCCCCAAAGACTCTCGATCCAACAATAGCCTGCTTAGCCTTAGGGTGCTCATCTTGCCTCTACGCAGACAAGACCATTGCATCCTGGATGCACCTTTGCCCGCACACTCTACAACTCACTACACTCAAAATGAGTCTTGGCATAAGACTGCCTCACCTTGGGGTACCCATAAGTACCACCATTTGGCTGTAGGCATGTACCAATAAACAACCAATGAGCTCTTACTGTCTTTATAAAGGCTTGCTTGAACATCCATCTTGTGGTATAGCATCACCTTTCCCTCGTGTTGAGGCACCATCAGATATTTGTTTCAGGGCTACTAGCCCATGCCATAATACTACGCTCACGGCCATTTTTGCCCCCGCTCAAAATTCATTCTAAGGCAAATTGTAATAACCCAAGCTCACTGCTAGTAGATATTGTTTGCTTTAGCCCGTTGTGTATGGTTATCAGCCTCATGGTTTTAAAACACGTTTGGTGGGGAGATGGTTCCACACCTCCCTCCTCCCAAGGTGGGATCTCACAATCCACCCTCTTGGGAGCCAGCGTCCTCGCTAGCACACCGTCTGGTGACTAACTTTGATACCATTTGTAATAGCCCAAGCTAATAGATATTGTCATCAACCTCACAGTTTTAAAATGCGTCTACTAGAAAGATGTTTTCACAGGATAACAGTATGGTAACAATTCGATAAACATGATAATTGGTGCGTGATGAACGATGATAATGCACATTGTTATGAACAGAAGAGAAGCCGAACAAACAATGCGAACAAAATGCAGATGAAATTCAATACAACTACCGAAAAGCTAAGCAAAATAATCAGAGACTCACTATTGGAGAAGGCAATCGTTCAGTTCTTAAGCTTGATTGCGACACTTGAAAACAACAGATAACGTTTTGGCGTAGACGCATTCGGCATACCTCGAGGCGTAATGATCATACTCCCTGAACGCCTTCTGCTTCATTTTGCTACGCAAAGCTGGAAACACACCAGAAGTTTCAACAGCAGTTGCAAGATACAAGACTCAAAAATTGAACAGACGCATCATGTTCCTCAGCAATCAAAAGCAGATTAAACAGGTAAAGGACGAAAGCAAGATTGGATTAAATACCTTCCCCTACTTTCTTCTTCACATGATTCTCTCGAGCATCCTGCAAGTAACCCATCTTAGAAGCAATAGGAGCACAGGAATTAGCAGTATCAATTCCACTCAATTCCACTCCCCAGTTTTTAGTTGCTTCTCTTCTTTCTAATCTTTTCTCTAAGAACCCTAAATCCTAGTTTTGCTAGAACAAGAAGCCCACTCTTGGAATTCTTTTTAATCTAATAATTTTTATGTTTTTGAGAGGAGAATGAATAGAATAACGAGCGAATCTGAAATTTTGATGTTTTTTATATGAACTTATTTACTCAATACCTCATTTTAAGATTAAAACTTTCAATCCATATGATTCGGAAAAGAAAAAAATTATTTTAATTTTAATTTGTGAAGAACATCATGATCTAAATTTACTTTTAACTGTTAGCTATATTATCACATAATATTTAATAAAAAAATTCCCGCTATTTTTGCTTTAATAAACAGTACAGTGCGGGATTATATATAAGCTTAAGAGTACCCTAATTATCCAGTCGGATGGGAACACCGTACGATATAATCATATAACTGAGCTTTTTTTTCTCTGTGTTTCACTCACCTTTTGCACTTTCATCTTTATCTTATTCGCATTTCTTTATTAGAAGCACTGTTATACTCGGATTTCTTTAGCTCAAATTGCTGCTCGAGCTTTGTATTTCGCTTTCAATGGCTGCCAATACCGCCATTGTTGCTTGGTTCGTAATCACGGTTGTCTATAATTTTGTGCTGTTTTTGTTCACGATAGATAGCAACTGAATTGGTTGATCAAAATGTAATTGAATTATCAGGGGCTCAGGAGAAGATGGGCAATTGGGATTGGGGAACGACCAAGAGAGGGAGTGGGTTTGCGCCATTAAAGCCCTTGGGTCTCAGAAAGTCTGTTCTGTTGTTGCTGGTAGCCGAAACTCCCTCGCCATCTGCGAAGATGGCAAGGTCAGTTGCTTTCGTTTTAATTCATTTCTCGTATATGAGCGTTCTGTTTTCTCATATTTCGTACTTTTGGGTTCAATTTTGTGGGGGATTTGTAGCTGTTTACATGGGGTTGGAATCAGAGAGGCACTCTTGGGCACCCAGCAGAAACCAAAGCTGAGAACATTCCGAGCCAGGTCAAAGCTCTTGCTAATGTTAAGATTGTGCAGGTAATCAATCTAAGTGTGGTGTTCTACATGTACTTTTTGGTTTTTGTGCTGAAGAACTTCTGAAAGTTTCATATGGTGTCCTGTGTATTAGGCGGCTATTGGTGGGTGGCACTGTCTGGCTGTGGATGATCAAGGCCGAGCATATGCCTGGGGTACTTATGTTCCTTTCCTTCGCTAATTGTGTGTCTGGAAATACTGGGGTTGGATTTTTTACAGTTCTGGTTATCGATGTTCTTAAAAGTAAAAGAGGCTTCAAAACTTGTCCTCTTGAAGAGGCAAGACACAAGCGGAAGGTCTTAAAGAAGTGGAAAAACTACAAAATCACACAATTTTTATCTTTCATATAAAAATTTTGAAGGTCATTCTCAATATTGTTGTACTAGTATTACATATAATAGTGAACTTTATTTCATCAAAGAATATATGGTAAGTGTTCTCATTATTCTACTTCTAGCTATTACATTAAGCTTAAAAAATATAAGCCTTATTGTGTACTCTTAGATCTGTTTACTTTTTTATATATAAGGGGCATAAATCTCTTATGAATTTTAGAAGGCTTAAATTTCAAGGTTAAAATTTGTGGCATGCCTCGGAGTGCAAGTCTCAAAAGCTTTTCAAAGAATGCTGTCTTAGAATTTGCTATGGTTTATCATCTGGGATAGATAGCAGGTATTACGTCTTTGGATTAGTTTTACTTTTAATGTTCTGTACCAGCTTCATTTATGCATGGCAGCACGAGTAACAACAGTGTAGAATAGACGTGAATTTATTTTTTTTATTTTTTGCGTTCTCTAAGCAACTGAGAGGGGTTACTTGGAGCAGTTAAGGAACATGTTTTAGGAAATTCTTCATGGTGCCTCCTATTTTAGATCAATCCAGGCAAGTAAACATGTAAAGTGTGTGTGGTGCAGGTGGTAATGAATATGGTCAGTGTGGCGAAGAACCCGAGAAGAAAGATGACAGTGGTAGGCCACCTCCGAGACGAGATATAGCAATTCCTCAACGATGTGCACCAAAGCTAATAGTTCGTCAGGTAATATATTTGTGAGCATTTATTCTGGATTATCTTTGTGTATTAAATAGTTTCTTTTATGTGCTATGCATAATACAGATTCTATAGTAGCCTTTCAATTAAGTATGCTGCTTGAATTTCATGAAATGGTTCTTTTGGTCCATTACAAGAAGTTACCATTTTTGCCCATTATTGAGCATTTATCAAATCTATTTAAAGTGGATTACCTCATGGTTCATCTCAACTTTCTTAGTCAGTGTACCCCACTTTCTTCCAGATATTGTGGAGAATGAAAATCCACCGAATAAGAAAACAGACTTTATTTGGTCCTTGGTGCTGGGATGAAAATGAATTAATACTAATGATACTATTCTACCTAGAAATTTCCATTGATAGCTTTCCCTGAAGTGGTATTATGTGCAACAAATGTAAGGATGATGACGACCATCTCATTCTCTTCTTCCCATGACTATGGGTTCATGAAATAAGCCAAGTGTTGGAATTCGAAATTTAATCCAAAAAATTTCTCCATTCGGTCGTTGGGGTATGTGACTACCTTTTCAAGGTCAGGGCTAAAAACTTGGTGCATTAGTTTTTTTTTTTTTTTTTCCTCCAAGTTGTGGCGGAAAAGGTATAGAAGAACCTTTGAAGGAAGGAGATAACATTCTAGCTTTCATGGAAGCTCAAATAAGTTCTCGTTTGGATCAAAGTGTAGAACGGGATTATGTTTATTAAGATTTGCTAGTATGGACAAGCTGACTAAGCTCAAGCAATTTGCATAACATTATCGATAAATTTAGGACAATTTCTTCCTGAAATTACGTGGATTTCTCTGATATGTTGCAATTTAAATGTAAGAAGGGAGAACACAGATCATTTAGTCAGGTATGATAGAGGCTGGTAAAGAGATTTGGCTTGATTATGGCATGACCCTTCTTTAATCTCTTAGGGCCTCGGGTCTTGTATGTATATCTCATGGAAGATTGTTTCATGCTTGTCTTGAATTGGTTTCAGAAACATACTATTTTTTCTGTTATAGGTTGCTGCTGGAGGTACACACTCTGTGGTACTTACACGTGGAGGACAAGTATGGACATGGGGCCAACCATGGCCACCTGGAGATATGTATAGTCTCATAACCGTTAATTTTGATATCACTGATCACTTCTTTTTTGTTTACTTATTTTGAAATATTGTCTGTTTCTTCTGTATGCAGTGATGCTAATATATTGAGTATCTTGTTCGCAGAACGCAAATTTCTGTTCCTGTACGAGTTCAAGGTCTTGATATGGTGAAGCTTATTGCGGTTGGGGCTTTCCATAATTTGGCTCTCCAAGAAGATGGGACTTTATGGGCATGGGGTAATAATGAATACGGACAGCTTGGAACTGGTGACACGCAGCCAAGATCACAGCCAATTCCTGTCCAAGGGCTTTCTGGCCTTACTCTGGTTTGGTTTGCTTTTATTTTTCCTTCGTTATCGCTTCTTTATATTTTCTTGTTTTCTCTCACTCTCACGTGGAGTTTACATCTTTTGAGCCTTAGTCTCTTTCCATTTTTTCAAGGAAAAAAAAAAGTATGTATTCCAAAAATCAATTTTATTTTTGAAAAAAAAAAAGACTCGACATTTTTCTTTGCCATGTATAATTAGCAGCTGATATGGCTACCTTGTTAATTACCAAATCTTTGTTCAAAGGTTGACATTGCAGCTGGAGGATGGCATTCAACTGCGTTGACAGATAGCGGAGAGGTTCTCTCTCTCTCTCTCTCTCTCTTCACCTAATGCTGAAGAGGGGTTATACATATTGTAATACATTGATATTAATACATAATATAAGAGAAGTAGATTTCATTGAACTGTATAATTATTGCTGTTTTGCCAGAGAATTTGCAAGAATACCTCCAACAATTTCATAGAAGTTACTAGCATGACATAATGTGTCCTTGTGTTGGTTGTGTTTTAGTGGTTACATGAAAAACATGGATCCCCTTGATAATCTGTCAATATTCAACTTTTCTTGGGATTTTAGAGGGAAAATTTTTTTAGTTCCTAGTTGAAGTAGTAGTGCTTATGTCTTCAATAAGCTTAGCTCATTAGCATCTGAAAAAATTTGCTGATGAATTACGGACTGGGTCAAGAACGAATGATGTATCCTCCATAGAAAGAGTAAGCTTACTGCTGTTGCAGGTTTATGGATGGGGACGAGGAGAACATGGGAGGCTTGGATTTGGAGATAATGATAAGAGCAGCAAAATGGTTCCCCAGAAGGTTCAACTTTTGTCTGGCGAGGACATCGTTCAGGTAGGGATCATCATATTTTTTATAACATAATCCTTCATTGATAAGCTGATATAATTCCGGGTTGAAAATGATAGCGGTATCTTAGATAAACCTATTGAAGAAAGGAGAGTAGAGAATATTACAAACAGTTGAATTAAGTTTGAGGATCATGCCGAGAATTAGGGTCTAGAGTTAAAGACTCAGAGATGCAGTAATTATTTGACGGAAGTAGAAATCTTTTGAATATGCCGCAATATCATTTGTTGTTTCAGGTATCATGTGGAGGCACACACTCAGTTGCAGTAACCAGTGATGGCCGCATGTTTTCGGTTGGTCTCTCATCTCTCTTCAAGAACACCCTTGTTTCAACTTATTTCATTTCTGTCTTTTTGAATTTTCAGCTAAATTATATACCTATAAAATACCCCTATTCTTTCCTATTTCTTTTCTTTCACTCTTTCCAAGCAAGGTAAGGGGGCTGGGCTGGGCTGGGCTGGCTGAGAATCTCCTTTCCTTCTCCTTCCTATTGGTCTCGTCTATCTGTCTCGTTGCTGTGCTAGCTTTGCTTTAAACTTTGCGATTCGTTTAAAGAAACATCCTTGTTAATTTCAAGCTTTACCTTTCATGAACGTTTTAAAACTACACTTTGAAGTGTAAATCAGTTAGAATATTGGACAGAGAATTGACATGATGGTTGTTGAGAATGACATGGCAATGACTCGGGCGCTTGCCTGAAATAGGTTTGAAAGATCGATATTCAAACACATCAACTTTTTGTCAAACATTCTAACCGATTTTTACTCAAAGGGTAGTTTGAATCTTTTTTTCTTGCATTGTTCATTGTCATTCTAAACTGTGAAGTCTTGTTACATTCTCCCCCCTTGTTTACATTTGTGTGGCAGTTTGGGCGAGGTGACCATGGGCGGCTTGGATATGGAAGGAAGGTAACAACTGGGCAACCAGAGGAAGTGCCCATTGACATCCCCCCTCCTCGTGGGACTGAGAATGGCCGCTGGATTGCCAAACTTGTTGCCTGCGGTGGCCGCCATACATTAGCTCTGGTACAATGGAAGCCTGAAGATTAAGTAAAATAATTCATGGTTGTTAGATTCTTAAGATTATGAACTTTTTTCTTTGAAATAATAATTATGAAACCGGGCGACATCGACTTGCAGTTCAAAAGCTTGGTTTTATGTATTCTATATATTATGTGTAGTAAGCTTCCATGCATCAAATTTATGTAATAAAGCACCTGCTTGATGTGTGAAAAAAATGGGTCAAGCAGAAGGTTAAGCAAAAACAAAGAAGGAAGAAACCATCAACATATTTAGATATATGATCATTCTAGGCCTTAATTGATTTGAATATACTGTTTTATTGATAAGCACATTTTCATTGTAATGGTGAAAGAGAATAAGATACAACTCAAATTTAGTTTGAAGATTTGTCAAGGATATCAATTACAAACAGACCCATCAAGTGATAATACTACGACACAGAAGGCTACAATTCCCCATTGTTCTAAGTGAGAAAATGATAGACATTGGATTTGAACATGTTTAACCCAAACTTCGAAAGCAACTACTCAAACTTTTTGATTAAGGACAGATCATTTAACATCTTCTCGATTGCTTCGTCGTCGTGCACCCTCCCTTTAGCCTGAAGCCAACAAAAGTGTTCATAAACAATTCTAAGATGAATACCAATACATATACTTGTTAGAAATTACGACTTTCCACAATGCATAAGCTCTCAAGGCTTTGCTTTGGACTTCCCCAAAATGCCTTATACCAATGGAGATGGAGGTAGTATTCCTCATGTATAAACCCATTATCTTCCACTAAATTAACCAATGTGGGACTCAACTCCCAATAATCCTCAACAATACTACCAACTACAAGCAAAAAAAAAAACTACTGTACTTGTTGATATGGTGTAGGCATAAAAAAGGAGGCAAAAGATACCTTCAAAGATGGTACCATAGCAATAGCTTCCTCCACGGTCTCAGGACAAAGGTTGCCAAGAACACAGAGCTGCAAATTTCAAGAGTGATGAGATAAATCTTTCCTTATTCAGTGTTAAGTACATAATGATCTGTAAATTGATTGATTTAATCAAGTTTCAAATATATACCTCAAACTCAGCCAACTGATACCTGCTTAGAATTCTGCATGGCAGTTAAGAATCAACACCTCTAGTTTATGCGATTCTAAAGCAATGAACTCAACCTTCTAGTTCATACCAGAGTTGATAAAAGTAAACTATATTGTCCTCCATGAACTACATATCGAAGCAGTTAATCTTAATTCATTCACTATTTCCCAAATAATAATTAACCAAAGAGCTCTTGGCTAGCTAGAAAATGGTAGTTGTAAATTACAAGTTCAAAATGAATTTAGCATAAGGTGGATATGCTCAACCCATCCTTCCCACCATCCCATAAAATCAAGACAAGGATACTCTCGAACTTGTCTGACGGCATCAGGATTTTTATAGCGACTAAAGCGTTTCACATACTGCAGCGACTTTTCAAACACTCTGCAGAAAAAGAAGACCAGAATTAAAAAGCTCTCATCTTTGTAACGGTGATGAATATCATAAGTTTAGCTATATCAACCAGCAAAATAAACTCTAAGTTCGCTTCTAAATCAATAAACAATAAACAATAAGCATAAAACTCACTGAGAAACTTGATTCATTGGATCCTCAGACATTTGTTGAAGTTGCTCATATTTGTGTTCAAGGATCAAAGAAACCTCACAATTCATTAAACACTTGGCCTTCAAAAACTCTGCGGGCAGCCAAAGGAAATAAATGCAAAAGGATAAAAAAGCTGTGTATACACCAAAAAGATCTTGGTGGAAAGAGCTTAAATTTTGAATAACTACTTACCATATAAACAAAAGATCTATTCTAATGTCTTAATTATCATATATTCATAAAAAATGGAAAAGCTTAAATAGTTGAGTATTCAAATGATAAAATGTTAAATGTTAGAATTTAGATTTTGCATAGATTACATATCTTCATCTAAAATTTCAGAAACCTTAGGACAATTTAATATTAACCCAAAATATCTGAAAACCCAGGGCATTTAGCTATTTGAGCCTTGACACGATATCATAAAAAACGATAAGAGAGTGTACGCAAAAGAAATCTCTTTTTATGAATGTGGATGCCCAGCCACCTATAAGACAACACATCTAATGACTTTTTCTTATCTAACAAGAGAGAAAGTTACGAAATAGTATGATTCTATGTAGATGGCTATAAGACATACTCACATAAACTAATGGCTTAATAGAGGAACGAAGCACTCCTTATAAGAGTGTGGAAACCTCTACCTAGTAGACACGTTTTAAAACCTTGAAGGGAAGCCAAGAAGAAAAAGCTCAAAGAAGACAATATTTGCTAGCGGTGGGCTTGGACTGTTACAAATGGTATCAGAGTCAAACATAGGGCAGTGTGTCAGCAGGGATGCTGGGCTACAAGTGGGGTGGAGTGTGAGATCCCACATTGGTGGAGAGGGGAACGAATCATTCCTTACAAGGGTGTGGAAACCTCTCCTTAGTAGACGAGTTTTAAAACATTGAGAGGAAGCCTAGAAGGAAAAGCCCAAAGAAGATAATATCTGCCAACGGTGTGCTTGGACTATTACATTTACTATCTTTCTCCTCTCACAATAAAGCAAATAACTATCCACAGGGTATGTGATTAATAAGAGATTGTAATTTCTTTACTGCAACAAAATTAGTAAGTGTTTACATTAGCTCCATATTCGCAGTCCAAACTATATTCGCTGTTAAAAAGATTGTGTAATAAGGATACGTATAATAAGGCATGGGGAACAAAAAGGAGGCAGTGAAGGAAACCATCACCATACAAAGTAAGAGGGACTTAAAATCTCGTTGATTATTGATGAAAATTAGAGATTAATAGATAGATTGGTACCATCCCCAATTTTAAGCTCAGCAGCATTTTCTTCCTCCTCTCCAGACATGCTTGAAGTTGGAGTTTTGGACAACCAAAAGAATCTGAAAACGAGTAAACCACAATAAACTTCATTCAACTTGTTCAAGGAAGAACTTGAATTTTGTTTTAGATAAATGATGGATATATTTCATATTTAAGTGAAACCCAAGTGAATTATCCAGAACCTCAGTAACTTCCGGGAACAGAGGGGAATTTAAGCCCTAACAAAATGGCTTCATACCAAATTACTGTGAGTTCTGAACATATTACTAGACTAAAAAAATTAGGAAAATTTTGCAACGAAGAGTAGATTCGTATTCAAGAACGGAGAATAATACCAAATTCTATTGCTGGAGAATCAAATTCAACTACCCATCTGTAAAGAAGGCAGTCAAGCCAAGTCGTGCTATTCGTAATCAGTATGTAAATAGGGAAAACTGAGAGAGTACGCACCACAAAACACCGAGAGGATTAGGAGGCCAGAAGCGGCGGTGCGACGTGACGGCGAAAAGGGAGAGCCGGCGGGAAACAGAGAAGGCGCGACACAGATTTCTCTAATATTTTCAAGAAACCCAATTATAAAACAATTGAGGAAAATATATATGGCTTAAATGTTTAAAATTTTTAATTTTATGATATTTTGATATTGGGTTTCAACACTAAAAATAAAATTTTAAAGATGAACACAAATTTTCCCGAGAGTGCAGCCTTGATAATTAAAAGGTCGAAAAAATTGTGGGTTAGATATGAAAATGATATAGAAAAGAGATTTAGACGTGTCTAATATTAATATCCAAAAATTAAGTCTTGGGGCTAAAAATAATTTAAAAGCGGAGAAAATATAGAAAATTTATAATAATAAAGAATAATGTTGGTGGGTTCGATGGGTCAACAATGACCATTTCAACAAGTTATATAGAATCATCAAAATTTCTAAGTTGTGGACTTTATGCACACCACAAGGTTTGTCCATACGCAACCAAAATTCCGAACCATCCTTAACGATTTTAGAAAATTAAATACAAGTGGTCCCCACGCCCACGTCATCCACCTATAATCCCACAACAACAATATAATATAATATAATATAATAATAATAATTTTAATGTTAATTACGTCGGAACTATAGATGCTGCTGCATTTAACATTCCTCAACAGAAATTAAATTTATTTATTTTTTGCCCCAAAGACGAAGGCAAACTCCCCAATTTATTTAACCAAATTCCAATTCATTCGTGTTTACACGTGGCACGAAGTAATTGGCTCCTTCCGGTCCAGTCAACCCTGATTGTTTTTTTCTGTTCCGCCCTTTGACTCCAGCCCCCCTCCCATTGAAGTCCTTCGTCCTCTTCTTTACCCGCTGAATGGGCTACTCTTCGTCTCTTGTTCAGAGGGAAGGAGGATTCTGCAACGTTTTTCAAGGCCTCAAACTTGTCCCTCCTTGATAAACTGCGAGAACCTTGGAGATTTCGTTTGGGGTCCTCGTTTTTTCTCATATGCTTGGCGTCTAAGAAAAGAATTTCATGCAATCAGGTTCTTATCTGCTTAATCTTCCATTACTTATATATTTTGGGAACTGGGTTCTTTAGTATCTACTCAATTACTTTGCTCTTAGGTGCGTTTTGTGGGTTTTCTCATCCACTCTTCATACTCCTGTTTCATTCTTCTCGATCGGATCTATGCTCTTGGAGCTTGTTCTGTTTCCAATTTCGCCACTTATTCTCAGTTCTTTCTGAATTTTGTGGATTTTGTGAGCTAGTGGTGTTTAATCCAGAAGTAGGGATGATCTGATTGTTTATGAAGTTTGTGTAATTGGGTTGTTTCCTTTATGACTTTCTGGTAGGATTAAGTTATCCTTATAGATTTTTATGGTAAAGGGTTTGGTGGGGATTCAGTATTTGAACTTCATGTACTGTTATGTATACTCAATTTTGAAGTATGGAGAGTTTTAGCGGTGATTTAATAGCTTCTGTGTGGATTTATAACTAATTGTATGTGGTAATGGTTATGTGACTGCAGAGGCGTGGTGACTAAGTGTTTGGAGCAACATGGCCACTGGATTGACTGCTAAAATTCGTTTGGTTAAGTGTCCTAGATGTCGTCGGCTTCTTCCTGAGTTGCCTGATATTCCTGTTTACAAATGTGGTGGATGTGATACAATTCTAGTAGGTAAAATGCTCTTTCCCATATCTAACAAACTAGACATGCGATGTTATTTCAAATTTTGATGCTTGAATTTCAGAAAGTTTTAGGATAAGGCTTAAACATGATCACCTGTCATATAATGAGCCACAGTTAGTCTGCTTTAGTTCGTTACGTATCGCCGTCAACCACATAGTTTTAAAATGCGTCTACTAGGGAGAGGTTTTTACACCCTTATAAGGAGTGTTTCGTCCCCCATTTCAATTGGGATCTCACAATCCACCCTCCTTGGAGGTCTTGGGTCCTCGCTGGCACACCGTCTGGTGTCTAGCTCTGATACTATTTGTAAAGGTGTGAAAACCTCTCCCTAGTAGACGTATTTTAAAACCGTGAGGCTGACAGCAATACGTAATGGGCCAAAGCAGACATATCTGCTAACGGTGGGCTTGGGTTGTTACAAATGGTATCAGAGTCAAATAGCGGGTGGTGTACCAGTGAAGACGCTGGTCCCCAAGGGGGGTGGATTGTGAGATCCCACGTTAGTTAGATTGGGGGACGAAGCATTCCTTATAAGGGTATGAAAACCTCTCCTTAGTAGACGTGTTTTAAAACCGTGAGGTTGATGGTGATATGCCCGTCTGCTAGCAGTGGGCTTGGGTGGTTATATATAACTTCTTATAGACATGAATATACAAACAGAACATCTGCTAACCACATTGAATATGATACTTCAAGATGATGCTATGAAATTCTAATATTTTTACCATCTTCTGTTCTTCCCTGTATGTGACTTTTCAAAGCTCTTACTAATTTATTTCCCCTGATCCTTTGTGCAGCAAAGAATCGAAGAGACAGTTCCCACAACACAGATGTGGGCTCACAAAACAGAGATTCTGTGGAGAGGCATGAAGTCAACCCCTCTGAAGATAAGCAGCCTAGCACTCCGAACCATAAAACGATCATTCCAACTCATGGTGAATCTAATTTGGACTTAAGCAATGGAAGGGATATAAATGAATCTGGAGAATGGAGAAGTGAGGAGCTCGTTCATTCGACTTTGAACGTGCAGCAAAGGAATACTAGAAATGATGATGAACCTCATCACGAGAATGGCGAAATCTCAGATGGGGATAATGCAGAAGAAGCCAGCATTTGTTCATCAAGTCATGAAAGAATTATTGCATTCTCTGGTGAGTGCATCGTAGATCCAGATGTCGAGGAGAACCATGATGAATCTGGAGATAGTAGCACTGGGCAACTCGTTCGTAGGAAGTTGGGTGAGCGCCTAAATTATGCTAGAAACGATGGTGAATCTCGTGCTGGTCATGAAGGGCCATCAGGATTTCCAGATCAAGTGTATTGTGAAGATGAGTGCGCTTATCATGAGAATGGTGAGCTCCCATACCAAGATGATGCTCCAGAACAAGAGGAATATAGCATTTCAAGTCCTGAAATAACTATTCCGTCCTCCGGTGAGTGTTCTATAGACCCGACAGACATGAAGGGTCTGAAAGAATCTGGGGATGTTAGTCAGGAACAGCTTGCTCATATAAAGTTGAGCGAATGCCTAAACAATGCTGGAAGCAATGATGAATCCCAGGCTTGCCATGACGAGCAACCGAGCTGCTCTAATGCTTCTCCTGGGAATGCTGACCTCTCAGGACGAGATCATATAAAAACAACAGAAACTAGCACGTTAAACCATGAAGTAATAACGATCCCATTCTCCGGTGAGTCTGTTTTGGATCCAAATGATGAGAAAGATCAGAAGGAAGACGAAGATAACCACAGGGAGCATCCTGTTCAGATATCTTTGAGCAAACACCGAACGAATGCCACCAATGATGACCAATCTGGATCTTCGGTTCGAGTATCTTTTGCAAATGCGGTTGCTAATCGTGAGAAAGACAAGCTCTCAAGTGGAGACCGTTCGGGAGATGACATAGTTGAGGAGATCTTCCTGTCAGGAGAAGAAAGTCAAGAAGATTGGAAGGAGACTCATTCCAATTTAGAAAGCTCAGGTATTTCAAATGCAGTAGCTACAAGTTCTATTATGGGGACAAGCATTCCATCTAAGATTCTTGCTCCTCTTACTGCACGAGTAGAAGAACACGAAGAAACGATTAGCCATGATACCGATCATCGAATTCCTGTTGATAATTTTGCTTGTACGGAAGTGAATCATTGCGCTACTGGTATGGTCAAATCTTTGAAAACCAAAAGTTCTTTTGCATATGATGGAATGGATGATCAGTTTTTGGATCGTCAAAGATGTTCGTTAAAGAACATTCAAGAAGCTTCCGACGGTCCCAGAAGAGAAGAGTCCTTGATGAACAATAACGCAGTGGCTAGAGATTCCGAAATTCCGATTGAAACAAGGAGTTCCTGGAAAAGTTTGCCTCGTGAGAAGCATTATGGCAGAGAATATCATGAAAGGAATCATAATGATATGCTGCAACATAGAAGACAGGATATGCAAAACAGAAGCACGTTAAGGAGAGAAAAATATCAAAGTAAGTTGTCGTTACTTGGAAGGGATCACGACGGTGGCTACGAGAACGACAGCGTTTCTAGTTCCATGTTCGACGAACCCCATGATTCTAGAATGCATTCATCAGACAATTTTGTGGAACATGATGAGGCCAAGGTTAGATTGTTGAGAATGGTTTGCGAACTGCAGGATGAATTGGAGAAAACGTGTAATCTAAACGGGAACGCAAGCGGAAGGGTACCGATCGGAGCCACTCAGAAGGATACATGGCATGACACAGAATATCCTTCTTACTCACGAAGAAGAGGGCCTCAAAGTAATGATCTCGAACGACATTCTTTATCTCGGATGACTTCTGCTGTAAAGGCTGTTAGTGGTCCTCAGGTTAATTACTATGGCATTGAACACATCCCACACTCAATGCAGCTGCTTCCATCTGAACACTGGCATAATCAAGGGGCCCGTATGGCGCATATCGATCACGACTATTATAGTCAATACAGCTCATGTGCATCTAGTCCCCAACGTTTTGTAAGCGCGCAGTTATCTGCAAAGGGCATTCGTTTGCAGTCTGATCATATGAGCCATCAAAATCATGTGGCCAAGCATCATCTACGGCCAATGGCTGGAGGTGCCCCGTTTATAACTTGTTACTACTGCTTGAAGTTACTGCAGATTCCTGCAGAATTTCTCTTAGTGAAAAGACGATGCTATCGGCTCAAGTGCGGTCATTGCTCTAAGATTCTTGAGTTTTCTCTTCAGAGCAGAACTCATATTGTTCCATATGTACCGAGTGTTGCAGAACCTCCACCATCTGAGGCCGATAAGCTCAATGGCTATGGGGTTGCTATCAGCAAAAGTGGCTCGAGAGAAATAGGCGATTCTGTTGTCTTACCACGTTCATCTCGCCAAGACGAAATGGAGAAAGAGCTTAGTTCAAAGTGGTCTCAAAACAAAACTGAAAGTCTAAAGAAGAGTTACCAGTCTGGTGGTCCATCCTCCCATGGCTACAAGGCTGAGAAGTTGTCCTCCAAAGTTGGAAATTTATCAGCCAAATCAAATTCCCCACTTCATCGACTCATGGGGTATTCTTCACCAAGCCAAGTCTTTAGAGGGTTGAACGCATCAAGAAGAAGCATGCAGAGGAAATAACAAGGTGATGTTTGTTCATTCTCTTGATGATTTTAGATCTCTGCTAACTTTGTGAAGCATTACAAGCTCAACCACGATCTCAGCAATGTTCCACGTAAAATATAGACGGCTACGTTTTGCTTGTTTCATATTTCATATGTACGTTAATAAGGAGACATAAATCTATTCTATCAATATTATGTATATTACATTCTTATGGATAAGTTCTAAAATATTAGAGAGATTTTCACACCTTTATAAAAACTGATTCGAGTCGATTGGGTTGGTCTGAACCATTATTGTACCTTTCATCATCGCTGAAGAACTGAAATGATACAAGCACTAGTGGAAACACAAGTTATTTGGAAGTACGAAACTCAACAAATACCGAAGGAAATAAGAAATAGACAAAGTTTATACACTGAATTTCTCGACAAATTGGTACTTGAAAATCCTACGGTACAGAACCTCCTACGTCCTAAATTAGTGATGTGGACTGAGATTACAGACTGCAACCAGTGTCAAAGCAAAATAACACTAGCAGCTCAGTAAATTGTTCCAAACAATAACATTTTCTGCAGCTCATAAGAGAGACTCAACAGAACTTCCAATGATTATTGCAGTTTACACAAGTTACAAACGTTGTCATAGGTTCATCAGCACTCCGTGTCTGCAATTGATAGTAGGTCGTCTTGCGTTGACCGCATCGACCACATTTGAACTGATCGGTGGTAGCTTTTGGAGCTCCTCCCCGCTCACATTCGAATAGTGCTTTTTGTGCAATCTCTTCGTTTTCACGTTTTCTCTGATCACTTGCCATATCAGTTGTGCTCAAGTTGGTCATCCTTTCTGGCTTGATAAGCCCAAGAAGAACTTTTCTCCGAAAATCTGGGTTCTTCGGATCCTTGAGGTTAAACATTATAGATCTGTACTTGGCCTTCTGTGCCCCAGTAGAACCTCCCCAATTTTCGAACATCACGGATTCTACAGAAACAGCAACACGGATAGGATCGCTTGCATTTACTTCATCTATAACATCTTCATCAGCCTCACCAGGAACCTTGGAGAAGGCCTCAACGAGAAGTTCTCTTATTTTGTCGCGAGCAGCATCTTTTGATTTGATCATGGAAGTAAGCTTTGGAGGTCCAGCAGCGCCGCTTGGTTTCTTTTCAATAGAGATTTTCTTCTCTTCTTTAACCATCCTTTCCACCTTGACCACTGAATCAGTTTTTTCAACCTTAACAGAGTTTTTCTCCGAGACCGCGCTCGCCGATCTAGAAAATTTAACAGAGCTTGTGGAACCAATCCTATTGAATTGCTCAACCTTGGAAACTCTCTCAACCTTCATGGAAGATGATTTTTGAAAGTTCTCCACCTTAACGGACTCTGCACTGGGAGAACCAATTTTGGATGGTTCTTTACTGTTGCCGTTTCCATTCTTCTTATTCTTGTTAGTCTCCTTGATTACTATATCCTTCCACATCTCAATCAAGTCAGAAGCATAGTCTTGTATTTTCTTCTTGGGGTGTTTAGTGAGGTGCCGAAGGCGCTTCCCAACCTATGGAAGGCAAGATATAGAATCTTGAGCAACGCATGAAAATGGACCTCAATTACAAAGGAAAAGGGATTGAAAAAAAATCCAGAAAACAATATATAACGAGAGCTATGACTCCAGTATTATTGTTCCAAAAACTTCCAGTGAGATGATTTCGTTATGAAGAACGTAAATAACAGATGAAACAGAGTGAACGCAGCTCGTTATGAAACCAATTCGTTGACGAGCAAACAAGGAATTTAGGCTTAGTTCATATCAAAAAGCATGTACGATTTTATAAACTAACCGGCTCTTAACATTTTGAGTATCCATCCACCATCAACAAAAGAAACAAATTTCAAGTATAGTGAGAAGAAAACCTGAGTGGAAACAAGGATTTGATATGTAACAGGAAATTTCTTGAGCTGCCGTAGGGCATCAAGACAACGACTTTCCTCGGCTCCCCCATCATTTGATGGTGCTGCAGCGGCGTCTGCAGCCTTCTTCGCCGCTTCAAACAATTCGACCAGCTCTTTCTCCATCGAATCACCGCCAACGAAGAATTTTGATAGAACCTAACGGCCACATTCCAAGAACGATAAGATCCCAACAACAACACAGCGGAATGAGAAAAACGACGCATGCGGGGGGGTATTGCAATCAATATCGAATTCGAGTTCTTTTCTCAATGAACAAGCAAAAAGATACCATCAAATCAAAAGAAAACGCATTGCCGATGGCAATTGATCGATTTCGAATAAGTAACACTTACAGAGATCTGAATCGCCGACTGCAAAAACGCTCGCAATACCACACTGAATAGAAGAAATCAAAAACTACAACGGAAAATAAATCGGGATCGGCTTTGGAAAAATCCCTTTTTCGGCAGAGAGACGGCGGAGAGAGTAAAGAAATTGAAACGAGGCCTGGGAGATGAGGTATAAGGGTAGACGGAGCAAGATAGGAATTAAATCGGACGGCCAGAGACGAAAAACGTGGCATACAGATTCACCGTAAGATCCTAAGAGTAAGAGCGAAGAACAGGTCATAATAGCTCTGATTTACCTATTTACCCATAGGCAGAGTGAGAATCCTAAGGGGGGTTTTGGGTATTTCATTCGGTTTCACTCTTTTGACTCAACAAATTTTGTGTGTTTTAAAAGTTTCATGATTAAATAATAAACAAATCCAACCGAATCAAATTTTTGTTTGGATTGGTGTTCTCTTCCAATAATTTTTTTAAAATAAAAGTAAAACATTAATTTTTAAAATAGCTATTTATTTATTTTAAATATTTAATTCAAATTTATAATTCAGTTTTAATATATTTTAAAAAAAAAATTGTTAAGAAAAATTAAGGAATAAATAATGATAGAAATAGACATATTCACATATAATTATATAATTTATATTTGACAACTTCAATTCAACCTAATAAATTTTTAGGCAATCCATAAATCAACCTGTTTTTCAGGTAATCATATTTTGTATTTTGAACCTCCTTAGAAAATACTCTTTTGATATCGAAAGCACAGTGTTTAACAATATCAAGTCTAGCAAAAAAAAAAAAAATTATTATTATTATTAGCCTTTACAAATATTTAATCCCAAAAGGACCATTTTTAAAATATTGAATATTAAGTTGAGGCAATTTAAATAAAATAAAAACTTAGATTGTATAGGGTAATTAAAACACTAATATCAAAAAATAAACTTGTTTACTACACTAATATAGAAACTTAGATCTACCTCGGAAGCTCAGAATCTTCGTTAACATTCGTTTATCTCTCAAATCAATATGGGATAGTACACTAATTCATCTTTAAATTTTGTAATTTTATACCTAATCAACTCTTAAAACTAAAAAAATGTCTACTAAAAACTAACCCTAAACACACCGAAACAACAATAAAAGATAAACTTCCTTATCATTTTACGAAAATTCTGTATTATTAGTTGAAAAGGAGGAGCCACATTAACAAATATAGAGAATAAATTCAATATAAAATGAAATGATACCTTGGAACTGAGCGAGACTAAAGAACCTATAAGATTTTAAAGTTATTGAAATGATACATTGAATCTACATAGTTCAAATTTGAATTGAAATGTTGACATACCTCTACTAAGAGCAAAACTGAGACCTATTGTTCTTCAAAGAAGAAAGAAAACCCATCTATTGTGATGAGCAGGCATTTCAACATCATTCATTATCCTGTAGCTAAAATCGTCCCATATCATTTCCCAGAAGTTCTAGAGCTAATACCGTTTGATGATCCGCTTGCCTTTGTCTGAGAATTTGATTTATTTGCAGGCTTCGGCTCATCCCAGTCGTCGTCCCAGCCTTGATCCCAACCTTCTGATGCTTCCAAATCGTTGGATGGAGAAGAATCCTGCTCTGCCAATTCAAGCTCCTGATATGGAACTCCATCAGCACGGCGTTCCTTGGTTCCTATCTTGCAGCATGCCCACACACCTCCGATGATCAAAACAATTGAAAGTAGTATGTATGATCCGGATACGAGGTGTAAATGGGTTACATACGAAGAGATTTGCTCAAAAGTGCTGCCACTTTTCATTGGTGATCCTAACAGAATCTCACACTTCCCACTCCCAGCATCTAATACAATCTTTGAATTTTCTAGAACATCTGAAATATTAACCTGTAACAGAATACGGAACTTGAAATAGCTATTCTCGTGAAGATCCAGCAAAGATTAACAAAGAGTACCTTTCTAGATTGGTGCTCAGGAACTTGTATCTCCTTGAATTTAGCATCGGAAATTATAACATTCACTTTCAGTGAAGTCCCTCCAGCATTCTGGATCAGAAGATATTGTTCCACCGTTGCTGTGAGAAAACAATCTTCAAGCAATTTATTGGGGAAAAAATCATCTCATGATATGATACTGGGGAAAAACGGAATTACCTTTTTCTGCGAATAGAAGGCAAGCAGTCATGTTCTCAAGGTCGTGACAAGTGTTGTACGACGGGTTGCACTTTTTCATGGAAGAACCATAGGTTGAGATTGGAAATGGCGGAATCGCAGGAGTTGGAGAAACAGAGCTAGGGCCAGGAGCCGGAGCCGGAGTTGGAGCTATACTCTAGAAGAATCGAAAAGGCGAAATACAAATTTGGAAGTCAATCGCAATCCAAAAGTTGCATAAACAACAAGAAGATCGAAAATCAAAATCAAAGTCAAACAAACCTGAGGAGAATCCTTCGAAAGCGCGTACCGGAGATGAAGATTCCAAATACGGCCAGAGAAAGAAGCATTGGATTCACGAGAGGCGAGATTAAGAACAAAGAACACGTATACGAGCGCCAAATCACGATTCATCGCCGCGTCTTTCTACGACTGATGAATCGAGCAGAACCGCGATGAAATCGAGATGGCGGAATCGCGCCACATTGCTGAAGATTTCAATTAAACGAGGAAAGTACAAGGAAGACGAAGAAGAAGTCGTCAATAGAAAAGTCAAAGTCAACGAATCAGAGAAACGCAGACGGGCCACCGGAACAACGTCTGAAAATGTATATATTCTCTGTTATCGTTACGTCCGGAGAGAAGACATTTTCATATATTTTTTTTAAAAAAAAAAATCAAATAAAATTGTTTTCTAAAGATATTAAAATATTTTCTAAGTTGCCAATTTCACTGATTCTGCAGCAACCAACAATTCTTCAGCTGCGATTTCGTCGTCTCTCTGAAGTTCTTAACCCTAACCAGACAGAAATGCGTGCACCACAGACCTACCCCTCCCCTACTACTACTCGTCTTCAACAAGTAACAAACCGGCGCACCACGTTCAACGCATCTTCCTTGTACTACAATCCCCCACGCCTTCGATTCCCCCTCGTAATCCTCATCTTCAAGCTCTTGAACGAATATGATTCCTTCCGGCGTCCGCGCCTCTCCGTTCTTCCACTGTTCCTCCAACGTTCTCCAACGATCTTCCTCCACTGCCTTCTCCGTCTCCAATCTCGCTCCCTTGCCGTCCTCCGTCGTGTACCACCGCAAAAACAGAGGCGCTTCTCGAAGATTCTTCACAATTTCCACCACCGATTCCTTCATCCATTTATCGAGCTTATCGCTAGAAATCGCCTCATTGCCTTTTTTTCTCCCCTTCACATGGCCTTTCACTGGCTGCAAACTCTTCATTGAAGAAATGTGAGTCCTCGATTTCCTGAATCTTCCGGGGAAAGCCACCAAAGAACGAGGACTTACTTTCTGATCACATCCGTCGGGAACATTCGCGTATCCATGATCCAATGCGCTGAAATTTCTTCCACATTGAATTGCTAACGAAACCATTGGCTATCGCAAACTGCAACCAAGAGACAAAAAAACAGAAACAGAGGAATTAGCCGATGGGGAAGACGACGGCCCTCCCTTCTTCTTGAAATTGGTTTCGGATTGAAAACGATTCTGGTTGAAGCAGACGTTTGATGATGGAGGAAACGAGACTGGATAAACAGAAGCGATTGAATCAGTTTCCTAAAACGATCAGACCAGCTGAAATTTTCATGACATTTAAATCGTCAATTTTTTTTAATAATAAATATATTATTTTCTCCATTTTGATTATAAACCCGTCAGCGTCCAGTCTTCCTTCACACTCGGAATTCCACCTTTGTTTGCTTCTCTGTAAATCGTCTCATTTTATTTCCATGCAACCGCCATCATCTTCCATTACTAATCAATTTTCTTGTAATTGAAATTACGACATTGTCCCTACTTGTCGTGGTGTCGAATGGGTATCCGAGGGATTTTGAAGCTTGAAGTAGGAATGTGTGTAGGGAATTTGTGGCGTGTTTCGATCGGGAACTGCCACGAGGTCCGGCAAAGAGAACGTGGAGTAGGGGCGATTTCCACGAGTTTTACACGCGAAAATAAGGTAAATTAAAAGGACAAAAAAAGGGCAATGTACTAAGACTTTTGATCGTAGCCGTTGATTCATCAGCGATTACTGGCACGTGGTAGCATGAGGAATATGAATGGACCTCCAGTGTGTCCACGCAGGCTGGCCTCAGCCTTCGGTGAATCGCGTCCAATCAAATCAGTTTTGTATCCACGTCAGCATAACAATGCTGACTCATCAGCAGAGATGGAGCTTGTTGGAAACTGAGATTAATTTGATGGAAAGTAGATCGAGGTAAATCTGTATAGTTTTAACTGCACGAGGTTATAAGATTTAACCATAGTAATTACGAGTAGATTTAAATTAAATTTTGAATTAGATTTTCACATATATAGGTAGATGACGATCGATATGGCATTAATTATTAATTAATTATGACTTAATGATATTTCTAGTTAAATACGGATTTTTTTTTTTTTTTTTTTTT